AAACTATGAGCTTCTTCTTCTCAAGATAATCAGTGATAAATTTATAAATTTTGTTACTTGATGTGTTTTCTCCCTTTATTTTTATTCTTTCTGGTGCTCAAAGTGTCCCACTGTTTAGTCAGTAGGAGTCACTTGGATTCCATGTTGCATCCATGTTGTATTTTATTTTATATTGTATTTTATGTTGTATCCATGTTGGATTTCTTTTTTTTTTTTTTTGAGATGATCCAGGTGTCTTCAAGAACCATCAAGAGCTTCCTTACTTTTTGATGTCACAGTCTAGACTCATCCAGGCTATTTCCTGCCCGTGAACCTGAGACAGACTTTTCTCCAAGGACAGCTGGTTCTTTTCAGTGGGAAATGGTTTTTGAGAAGCAATATGTGGGCACGAGCCACTTCTTAGTCCTGAGTTAGTAATTATTTCTAGGTCTTATTTCAGCTAAGAAAGTAATAGTTTGGGAAGAAAATACAACATGTGCTCAAACTGTTATTTGCTATTCAAATTTAGGATTACAGAACTTTAATTTGATTTTGGAACTTGTAGCTCAAGCTGAAAATCTTGGTTCCTGACATTAGCATAATTATTTGCACACATGTGTTTTTATACCATCAAAATAACTTTATCAGTACTACTATCGATAACACTATTACCGAAAACTGTCATATTTCTTTGAAGTTCTTTTTTTGGACTATATCCCACTGAAAATGTACATTCAACTACTGCTTTTTATCTTGCCATTAAAAGAAATCACTTAGAGTCACTGAGTTTAAGTCACCTAATTAAGACTTAAAATAGATCTTCTCGGTGTCGGGACTGATAATTAGCTCATTTACTTCACTTTGCTTTCACCCTTTAAGGATTGTGATTTTATTATCTTTGGAACTGGTTTGTTCTCTAGTTGTGTGTAACATATGCCTGGCTCCTAGTATGCCCGGTGTGTATTGTGAATTAAAAACCACTGATGTTCAAATACTTTCACTTTCCTTTCAAAAAGGCCAAATGAAATGCTATTCCTCCAGCCACATACAACTAAACAAGGCAACCATTTCTAAAAGATTGAAACACTGTAACCAGGGAGCATGCTCAAAGGGCTGGAACCGGGTTCAATCCATGGCACCATGTGGCAGTCAGCCCACTAATGGTGACCCTTGAATACCCCTGGAAGTGGCACTATATTCCCTGAACACTGATTGGAAGCCCCTTTCAAAACAAGATTAATATATTTTAAACAAAAATGTTTTGCTTTTTGGCCACGTTTGCCCATGCCTAGCAGACCATGTGGTGCCCAGGATCAAACCCAGGCTTCCTACATACATGGAACATGCTCAGCCCACTGAGTTATTGCCCCAGCTCCAAACGATAATCATTTAAAATTTTTGGGCTGGAGTGATAGTACAGCGGGTAGGGCATGTTTGCCTTGCACGCGGCCAACCCGGGTTCGATTACCAGCATCCCATATGGTCCCCTGAGCACCGCCAAGAGTAATTCCTGAATGCATGGGCCAGGAGTAACCCCTGTGCATCGCCAGCTGTAATCCAAAAAGCAATAAAATAAAATAAAATTTTAAAATTTTAACAAGGGGCCGGAGTGATAGTACAGTGGGTAGGGTGTTTCCCTTGCACACAGCTGACCTGGGTTCAATCCCTGGCATCCCATATGGTCCCCCAAGTACTTCCAGGAGTAGTTCCTGAGTGTAGAGCCAGGAGTAACCCCTGAGCATTGCGGGTGTGATCCAAAAAGAAAAAAAAAAGATTTAATAAGACTGGAAAACAGAATTGGAAATTTAAAATTCTGCTTTGGACCAAACCCCTGCTTTCCAGCCCACGCCTCTGCTTTTCTCTTCATCAGCCAATCAGGCACTGCTGGGAGTTTGTTTAAACTTGTTCCTTCTCCAGGGCTGGAGAGGATAGCACAGCAGGGAGGGTGTTTGCCTTGCACGTGGCCAATCTGGGTTCAGTCCCTGGCATCCCATGTATGTCCAACCAGGAGCAATTCCTGAGTGCAGAGCCAGGAGTAAGCCAGGAGTACCACTGGGTGTGATCCCAACATAAATAGATTTGCTCCTGCTCCCAAAGCCCCCAATTCAAAAAAAGAACCTTTGTCAGCTTTTGTGTCCGTCATTGCCCACGGTCTACAGAAACAGCCACCAGGTGGCGCAAAATGTTCCAGTGACACTGTTCCCATTTCGGCACACACAGGGACCCATTGACCGGGTAGGGCTGGCATCTCCCGGTCAATGTCAATCTTACAAGCACTCACTGATGACTGACCCAAAATATGGCAAAAACACAAAAAGGCAATCAAGAGAAAGGGGGAGACCATCCCTCAGAGCCATTCAAATGTTTGTGAGGACATTTGTATCATTTGAGTGCTCGCATGGCTAAAGGGATGAACTCACAAAAGGTTGACAGACTTGCTGTCAGCAAAGAACTGAGTTTAGGGTCGGAAAGACAGTACAGAGGGTAGGGCATTTGCTTTGCATGTCGACGACCAGGGTTCAATCCCCTGCATCCCATAGGGTCCCCTGAGCACTGCCAGGACTAATTCCTGAGTGCAGACCCAGGAGTAACCCTCTGAGCATCGCAGGTTGTGACCCTAAAAACACACACACACACACACACACGAATTGAGTTTAGATTTTTGTAAGAATGTCCAGGGTGTTGCTGGACCAGTGAGGAGGCAGCTTTCACTGTTGATGACACCAAGTGTGGAAGGATGGGCAGGCAGGCTAGCTTCGGAGCCCAGCCCCACGCGAAGCCCAGCAGCTTCCAGATGTTCTGGCTGCAGACTGCCTGTCACCTTCAACCCGACACTGCCCCTCAGGAGTGGATGGCAAGGCTGAAGGAAGATACGGCTCACTTCTAGCCAGGGATCTGTCCATTTCTCACTTGCTTGCTGTCTTGTTTAAAGCTGACGGGTGGCTACTGGCAGATTCCACTCCCCTCCCTTAAGTAACCTCAGAGTCTCACAGTTTGTCTTTTATTATTATTAGTGAAACACCATGAAGTACAATTGTAGACTTTCAATTCTTTGTGCTTGGGTTTCAGTTATACAATGATTGAGTACCCATCCCTCCACCAGTGCCCATTCTCCACCTCTGGTGCTCCCAGTATCCCTCCCACCCCTCCATCCCCCCCCACCTCTGTAGCAAGGCATTCCCTTTTGTTTTTTCTCTTCTTCTGGGTGCTGTCACAGTTTGTCTTTATTAGTGTTATTACTTTTACTTATATTGGTATTCAAGAATCTTTTCAATATCCATGAATTCTTCGTGTGATTTTTGTGTGTGTGCTCTATCCAATCTTGCAACTGTGTTATACTTACTACATAAAAATATGAACAGGGCCTGGAGCAACAGTACAGCGGGCAAGGCACTTGCCTTGCATGAGGCCTACCGGGGTCCAATACCTGGCGACGCAGATGATTCCCCAAGCCCTGCCAGGAGTGGTCCCTGAGCACAGAACCAGGAGTAAGCTCTGAGTATCACCAGATGTGGCCACAAAACAAATAATAATAATAATAATAACAATAATAATAATAATAATGTAGACAGGGCCAGAGATAGGAGAGCAGGGAAAGCACTGGCCTTGAAGCAGTCAACCCAGGTCTGATCCCAGGCACCCCATGTCCCAGCAACCTCTGAGCCCTGCCAGGGTGACCCCCAAGCACAGTGCCAAGAGTAAACCTTGAGCATAGCATAGCCAGGTGTGGCCCAAAGCCTATCCTCCCTAAGAAAATAACTCAGATCTCTTTTTATTTTATATGTTCTTTAAAAGTCTAAGGAGCCATGAACGTGCCTTTAAAGGCTCACAAAGGAGCCGGAGCGATAGCGCAGTGGGTTGAGCATTTTCCTTACACACAGCTGACCAAGGTTCCATCCCCGGCGTCCCATATGGTCCCCCAAACACCAATGGGAGTGATTCCTGAGTGCAGAGCTAGGAGTAACCCCTGAGCATTGCGGGCTGTGACCCCAAAATCCAAAAATAAATTAAAAACATAAAGGCTCACAGAACATTGTGAAGATGACTGGGCCCAGCTCTGCCTTTGGGGCGGCAATTCTCTGACAAGCCTCTGCGGTTTGTCTTGGGCTTTCTGCTCAGACTGCATCCTGTTATGGCCCCGTATGGTAAATCAGACTTTTCAAAATAAAAAGCAAAAAAATACTGTTTTTCATAAAATGTTCAAGTATATTTTTGAAGAGTTACAAAGCAGTAATGATTTTTCTGTTCTCCATCATTGTTTCCTTATTTATTTTGGGATACTTACCCTTTTAATAAGAATGTTCCCTTGCTAATTTGTCTATTTGTGCTTTCTCTATTCTTTCCGGTGTTTAAATTCTGTAAGCCCACTTCTTCAGAAAGGCCTGAAAGCGGAGCCAACAAACTCACAGGAAAGGAAGAAAACTAAACTATGGAAAGGGCCAGGGCTAGCATATAGTAGGTAGGGCGCTCTCCTACGTGCAGGTGACCCAGGTATGATCCCTGATGGTCCCTCCACTCCACCCCCACCCCTGCCAAGGAGCACCGCCAGGAGTGATTCCTGAGTGCAGAGAGCCAGGAGCAACTCCTGAGCATCCCTGGGTGTGGCTCAAAAGGAAAAAAGAAAAGAAAAAACAAGGCCTCAGGCGGTAGAAAGGGTGTCAGCACAAAGGATGAGCACAAGAGGGGCCTGGGCCAGTCTCTCTGGCTCTCACATGCTTGCTCTGCCCAGCTGGACCTCCTCTGTGCCCTCTGACCCAAGAGGAAAACAGGGAGACTCAGGGGGGCAGCCCCTGCAGGCACAGGCCTTCCAAGTCCCAGCACTAGACTGCCCCCTGCTGGGCATTCACTGTGATTTCCAAACACAAGACAGACAACAGAAGTTATAAAGGCCCTTTTTTGTTTGTTTATTACAAGAAAATCCAGGCTTTACAGGAGCTAAGCCTGGACTGACCCGTGTACCTGCCGCTCACCTCATAGGAGGCAGAGGTCCCAGCTTCTCGGCAGTCCCAACAGAGACCCCTGAGGGCCACTCTGAGCTTCTTCACTGCAGATGCCCCCAAGTGAGCCCCATTCCTTCTGCGGGTGACTCCCAGCACCCCTGACCGCTCTCCCCAGGAGAGACCCGTCTCGCCGTCCAGCAGCCGGGCGCGGGGCGCCTCTGCCACAGTCACTGTCCTGTCCTCTGGCTGGTGGCCCCGGGTCCCCGCTAGCCCTGCTCGCCCGCGCTGCCTCCTCCGGGCCCCGAGCCCTTCCCAGCCGCTTGGGTGTCTGAGGCGCGGGCAGCCTGCCTGGGCAGGCGGATGGGCACGTGGACGTTGGAGGCAGAGTGCTCCTTCAGGAACTCGCCGCCCTTCTCCTCGTACTCCCGCCTGCTGAGCCACACAGACTCGTCCTCCAGGTGGTCCAGGGCCCAGTCCCGAGCCCCGTACCAGGCGTCCAGCACGGGGTTAGTGGCCAGGTGAACCTGCAGAGTGAGAGAGGGAGGCTGTGACTGGGGGCACCAGGCCAGCTCCAGTCTTGACGATTGTCTTGATCTGTTCAGTTCGAGGGCCCACCAGGTGCTCGAGCCCAACGGGGCTCAGGTGACCCTGTGGGGTGTCAGGGATCAAACCCAGGTCGGCCGTGCACAAGGCAAGTGCCACCCCCTGTAGTGCGGTGCTGTTCTCCCTTACATTTCTTTTTTCATTGTTGATTTCGGTTTTTGAGCTCCAGTGCTGGGGATTCATCCAAGGTTAGGCACGTGCAAGGCAAGTGCCTGAACCCCTGGACAATCACTCAAGCTCCTCCGACCCCCAACACACACACACACACACACACACACACACACACACACATACACACACCCGACAATCACTCAAGTAATCCTCTTCCCCCCCCCACACACACACCTTGACAATCACTCAAACTCCCCCGACACACACACACACACACTCCCCCCCCCCCCCAATCACTCAAGCAATCCTCTTCCCCCCCCACACACACCTTTTTGGGATAAGGAACACCTGGATCTAAGCTCAGGGTCCACACCTGTGGTGCTCAGAGGCCAGATGGGGTGCCAGGGTCCAGATCCTACATTTGACCCCCCAGTGCAGGGCCTGCTGCACCCTCGCATCGGTGCTCAGGGGTCCCAGAAACCCCCAGAGCAGAGCACCGCAGACTTCGCCCACGAAAAACAGGCTTTTCGGCTACTTTGCCAACACAAGCGCAGCCACTTAACATCGCTCAAGCAGCGGGGAAGGGGGGCCAAGAGCCGCAATGCTGTCGGGGTGCAGTGCTGTGGGGTCCTCAGCCCAAGAGCAACAGCAACAGGGCGAGCCCAGTCACCAGCCAGGAGCATCCCGGGCTGCTGCTGGGGTGACCTGGCGCTCGTGGGACACATGTGCTGACACGTTCAGGCTCCTCTCCCCGCTCGCCTTTGTGTGGCGAACTAACGTCTCCACGTGTCTGAAACATGACTTCTGGAGTGACAGAACAGCGGGCAGGGCACTTGCCTTCCACGCAACCAACCAGGACTGATGCCTGGCATCATATATGGTCTCCCGAGCCCTCCCAGGAGTGATCCCTGAATGCAGAGCCAGGAGGAAGCCCTGAGCACCACCAGGTGTGACCAAAGCACAAAAATTCAGTCCCAATTTTCATTCTTCTTTAAGCGTTAAACGGAGATGTTTCAGAAGGCTAGAGCCCATGTTTAGCACTCAGAGGCCTGGGTTTGGTCCCCAGCCCTGCACCCCCAAACACCACCGAAGCGGTTCTTGACACTAAGTAAATGATGGTTGGAGGGATCGCTTGGAATAGTAGATGCGTGCTGAAAGTAGACTGTGAACCAAACATGATGGCCACTTGATACCCATATTGCAAACCATAACACCCAAAAGGACAGAGAGAATAAGAGGGAAATGTGCCTGCCACAGAGGCAGGGGATGGGAAGGGGTGGGGGTCGGGGGAGGGATACTGGGTACACTGGGGGTGGAGAATGGGCACTGGTGGACGGATGGGTACTTGAACATTGTTTGACTGGAAAGCAACCATGAAAGTTTATAAGTCTGTAACTGTATCTCACGGTGATTCATTAAAACATTTAATAAACATTCATTAAAACAAACAAACAATACCTAAAAATAAAGTAAAAAAGTTAAAAAAAAAAAAGTGACTCTTGAGTACTGTCACATTAAGCCCAGATATCATCTAGGGAAAAAAAAATCAAATATAGATTACGGAGATTATATAAGGAAAGTCACAGAACATTAATAATGGATATCTCTGGAGAATGAAATTATCAGGTAATTTTTCTCATTCCATGTTTCATATGTTTGTAATAAAAAAAAATTCAATGAATATATTTTCAAAACACAGTCACCCAAGTAACCTGAAAAGTACCTGAAAAGAAGACTGAAAGGGTCTCATCTCCAAAAGTTCCTTCTCGATTCGAGCTTTCATCCCAGGGTACATCATGTTTCCCCCCGTGAGAAACACGTTCTGGACCAGCAAATCCTGAACGTCCTTCGGGTACCTAGGCGAGAAAAGACCTTCGGGTAGAGTCGCTCCAGCGTGAGTGTGAGGAGACAGCGGGGAGGGTGGAAACGGGGCTTGGCCCAAACCAGAAAACCCTGGTTCGGGCTGTCGTGTTTCTCTAACTTCCGTTTCTCAGCCCACAGGGCTGATGTGGTAGGCACAAGTCACGTCTAAGCGGGCTGTGTGCCCCATGCCCCTTTCCCCACGGGCAAGGGCACGCAGAGGTGATGTGTCCCTGACCTGCCCACAACGCTAAACAAAAACTAGCAACACAAAACCCTTCCTTCGTCCTTCCTTCTATCTACCAAGGCATCAATCCGAATGGCCGAGTCATTTCCTTGGCCTGATTCATTCTGTGTCTCATGTGTTTTTAAAAACTGACTTCACAGGGTATGGATTTACAGACAATTTTTTTTTTTTTTTTTTGCGAAGCCGGACAAATTATATAGCCCAGTAACCCAAGATACGAAATATCTCCATCACCCTGAAAATGTTCTAATGTTCTGCCTCCCTTTTGAGTGTTTGGCCTGACTCTCCCTCCATGCACTTTATTTTTTGCCGTTTTAAAATGACAGCACAAAAAAGATAAAATAGGGGCTGGAGCGATAGCACAGCGGGTAGGGCGTTTGTCTTGCATGCAGCCGACCCGGGTTCAATTCCCAACATCCAGCATTCCATATGGTCCCCTGAGCACCGCCAGGAGTAACTCCTGAGTGCAGAGCCAGGAGTAACCCCTGTGCATCGCTGGGTGTGACCCAAAAAGCAAAAAAAAAAAAAAAAGAAAAAAGGACAGGAAGGGAGTATTACTACAGAATAAAATTCTCTTTGAAGATACTTCACATAAAAAAAAAATAATAAAAATAAAATAAAATGACAGCCAGACTGTATACAGGTCTAATCACTTCCCACCAGCTGCTGAGACCAAAGCTCAGAGCCCCTCAAACAAAGCCCCTGTCACAGCTATTCACCCTCGCTCAAGGTCTGTGTCCACCGTATCATGGCCAGCTGCACTGCCCACGGCACAGCCTGCGCCCCAGCCCTGACAGCATCACCCCGACCGCCCTCCGGCCCATCTTAGCCCACGGCAGGCAAAGTGCTACAGATCCTGTTCTCTAAGTATCCAGCACCGGTTATGAAAACGCCAAGTGTAGGAAAACGTCCGTCTAGTGGGTGGGCCGGGGACACGGTGCAGAAATACAGTGAGGCAAACAGTCTCCAAGGAGGGGAGAAAATATCCACAAGCCCTACACAGTGACTTCTACAGTGACCCAGAATCCCCAGGGTTGACAATATGAACGCTTATGCATGAACACAGTGCTCAGTCTTGAATTCTGATGTTTTGCTTTCAGGTCATACCCAGCAATGCTCGGGGGTTACTCCTGGCTCTGCACTCAGGGATCACTAGTGGGACCTGGGCAGGTCGCTGGGACGCTGGGGATGGAACCCAGGTTGGCCACACGCAAGGCAAATGCCCTCCCCGCTGTACTATCGCTCCGGCCCCGACAATCTTGAATTCTTAAAGCTCCGTGACGCAAATGAGCATGCCTAGTTTCAGAAAAGAACTACCAAGTCATGGGCCAGGAAGATGGTTCAAAAGACGGGTACACATCTCCTGCATGCTGGAGGCCCAGGACTGATTCCCCCAGCACCAGGTGGTCTCCTGAGCACTGCTATGCGTCGCCCCTGAGAAGCTGGGAGCAGCTCCCAAGCATCTGTGGGTGTGGCCCAAAACACACCCCCTTCTAAAAGGTGGGCACGCAAGAAGGATTCCCAAGGGCCTGCCCTCAAATGCACCTTCCCGGAAGCCGCCCCGGGGAGCGCGGCGCGGAAGGCAGCGGACCCACCTGTCCAGGATGTACTGCAGTGTCTCAGCGATGCCCGCCTGCTCCTCCCCCAGGAGTGAGGGCTGGAAGAGGATCTCCGGAGCACGGATCCTCTCCGTCCCGACGAACAACTGGTGGTACGCTGCCAAGTTAAACACGGGCTTTACGAACCCAAGGAGTAGAAGAGATTTTTAGGCCGTCAGGACAAACACCCCAGGTGCCAGTTTTCTCAGGCTGCCTTATTCACTGCAGCGGCACTGGGCTCTTTGTCCACGCCACAATTCCCCTCTCCCGCCGGGTCCTGAACCGGGCATTCAATTGGCAGCCTCTTTTCAGCCTCTGAATGAGCCCTGACAAATCAGCCCCGTGAAATGGTCTCTGACATACAGAAATGCAATCCGCGGCAGACCTGGTCCTGGAAGACTCTGGCCCACACAGCAGCCAGTGGGCACTCCCCGTCCCACCCTCCGCTACCACCCATGCCATCGAGATCTTTCTTCCAAGGAAGTTCCGAAAGCAGTGATGAAGAATCACAGTCTCGAGGCTGAGGCCCAAACACCATCCTCAAATCCTCACCTGCAGGGGCTGGAGCTATAGCACAGTGGGTAGGGCGTTAGCCTTGCACGCGGCTGACCCGGGTTCGATTCCCAGCATCCCATGTGGCCCCCCAAGCTCCACCAGGAGTGATTCCTGAGTGCATGAGCCAGGAATAGCCCCTGTGCATCCCCGGGTGTGACCCGAAAAGCAAAAAAAAAAAAAATCCTCACCTGCATCACTGAAACCTCTAAGGCCCTAGGGAACTGGACCCAGACTTCCCCAGACAGGTAATGCCCCAGGGGTTCTTAGACCCTGGTGCAGGGACCCTAACCAATCAAGGGGAGGTCATCCCTGACACTCGGGGGCGTCAGCGCTGGCTCTTGCCCTTCTAGAAAACACAACTGGGCATCCTCTTAGAAAGCACCTTCCTGCGGGCACTGACCGGTCACTATATCCAGCCTCAAGCCCCAGCAGTGGGCACCAGGCACCGACCTGGACGGTGGCAACTGGCTTTTCTACTTCCGGCGTTTCCTCGGAGAACAGGGGCTCAAAGTCATTGATGCTTTCCACGTCCTCTAGGGATGGCTCCAGCTGTTCCAGCTCAGGTGTCTAGGAATTGAAGACAGGACAGAACGGAATGAAATAAATAACTGGAGCCCCAAAGAGGTTGGTGAGTTCAAGGTCGGGAAAAGCAGAGGCTAGCTCAGGGTCCTGACAAAGTGACGAGGAACACTCTGCTGGGCTCCCACAGGGAGAAAAGAACCTGCCCAAACTCGGGACCAAGAGGCTCATCAGTGAGGAGGGGCCTGGGCTCTGAGCCTGTCTCTTCAGGGCCCGCCTTTGTTCTGGAGCCTTCTGACAGGGCGAACAGAAGACTTGTTTGCGGAATATCTGGCCCCATAAGGCCCACTGGGCTCATGGGTCTGGCCCTGGCTCGAGGGGAGACACAGGTGCTACCCTCCCACCTGCCGCCTGGCTGCCTGCATTGTCCCTGGTCTACCAAGGAGGTGGCAACTAACGTCTCCCCACGCCGGGCCTACATAGCACAGCCCCTCCCGGGGAAGAAGGGACAGCTGGTGTCCTCCTGAAGGACTCAGAGGATCCGTGAAGTGAACCCGATCTTTTGTGGTACCCCAGGGTCTGCACACGCCACGTCCTCGCTCTACCCCGAGCTACATCCAGGCCCAAGCCAAGCTCTGACTCGCTCCCGTGTGTGCACGCTAACACCCACAGCTGGTCCTGCTGGGCGTGGTGACCAGCAGCCCCCCCCCCGGGGATAGAAGCGTCCTCCTAGGGACCTGGCACAGCAATGAGGAAGGGGGCACCTCTGAATTCTGACCTGGATCTGAGAGGTCCGCAAGGGAGGAACAATGGTACAGCGGGCAAGGTACCTGCCTGCACATGGCCAACCCAGGTTCAAGCCCTGGAACAACAGGGTTCCTGGAGCACTGCCAGGAGTGATTCCTGAGGGCAGAGCCAGGAGGAACCCCTGAGCATTGCTGGAGAGGGCACAAACAAACAAACAAACAAACAAACAAGAGCTCACTAAAAATGGTCAAAAGTTCATCTTACTCCTCCCAATCACCATGATTCAGAAAACAAGCTCTTATTCCAAGGGGCTCTACAGGAGAAGAGATTTCTGGCCTCTTTCCCTCCCCGTTTGCCAAGGCCTCTGCAAGCACCGTGTGGTGTTCGGGAACACAGATAGTGACTGTTCTTTTGGAACCAAACAGAATGACAGCTTGCCGGAGCACATCAGAGATGCAGCCTGGCTCTTGGGGAAGTTCTGAGCAGCATACAAGCGAACAGAAGTCAGAGCTGATCTGGGCGGGTTCAGCACGGAATGTTCTACATCTGGCCACTGGGTCTCCTGAAGCCAAAGGGCTCTGACCTCCCACCCGCACAGGACACGCTAGAGCGACGCCACACGAGCCCCCTCGGGTTCCAAGGCCTAATTGTGGGGGGCCGGAGCCATAGTACCGCCGTAGGGTGCCTGCCTCACACACGGCCAACCCAAGTTCGATCCCCGGCATCCCACATGGTCCCTCAAACACTGCCAGGAATAATTCCTAAGGGGAGAGCCTGGAGTGACCCACAGAACCGGAGCATCACTGGGTGGGGCTGAGAAACCAAAAACAAATAAACAGTTCATTGTGAGGCTGGAGAAATAAGACAGCAGAGGGGAGATATAGGAGATAGGAGAAACAGACGGAAGAAATAATACAGCAGGTTATCTAGCCTCTGCCTTGCGCATGGCTGACTCCCTGGCTTCACACAGTACAGCCGGCCAGGCCCATCAGCCTCTCAGGAGTGACTCCTGAGCACTGCCAGTCTGATCCCCAAAACAGAATAAATAAATATTCACAGGGGGAGGGGTGGGTGAGAGAGAATGTGCAGGAGCTAAGGTTCTGGTCTGCAACCAGCTCAGCCCACCCTGGCCCGCTCCCCAGAGCACTGCCAGAACCAGGAACACAGAACTTGGGGGGGGGGGGGGAGAGAGAGAGAGAGAGAGAGAGAGAGAGAGAGAGAGGAGAGAGGGAGGGGAGAGAGAAGAAAGGCAAGAAGAGAGAAAAGAGGAGACTGAGGGACTGAGGGGGGAGGGAGGGAGGGAGAGAGAGAGGGAGAAGGAGAGAGGGAGGGGAGAGAGAAGGCAAGAAGAGAGAAAAGAGAGGAGACTGAGGGGGAGGGAGGGAGGAAAAGAGGGAGGGAGGAGGAGAGAGAGAGAGAGAGAGAGTTCACCAGGAACACTGGTCCTCCACAGCCATTCAGAGGAGTCTGCAGGAAAGCAGGGGAAGCCAGGCAGGGCGGGGTGGGACAACCCCCCCCCCGACCCCAGCCTGTGTGGAGCCATGAACAGCTCCAAGGTCCCTGGTGAGCCCCACACATGCCCAGTATCCCTGGACCAGGCCACAGCCTAATCTCTAAAAGTACAGGCTCGGGGGTCCAGAGATAATCTACAGGCTAAGGCACTTGCCTGGCATGCAGCCAACCGACCCCAGTTTGATCCCAGGGGCCTCAGACAGCCCCCCCCCCCCGCCCCGTACCACCAGGAATGACCCCCTAGGAGGAACCCACTGAGCCAGGAGCAGGCGCCAAGCACGGCCCAGTGTGGACAGAAATTTCAAACTAAGAGCACAGGCTTTAGAGTGGATTCACTTCCTTGGCGGGGGGAGCACCCAGCTAGTGCTCAGGGTCTGCTCAGAGCTCAGTGCCTGGGGGCTGCTCTCAGGGCTGTGTGTGGGGGGGGACCCCATGGGGCACTAGGGATCACCGCAGGGGGCTTCCCCAGAGAAGTCTCCCCGTACCCTACCGAACCCCCAGTCTCACACCTGCAAGCCAAACGCTCTCCGCTGATCTACCTGCCAGCTCTAGGTGTGAGAATTGAAAGAAGAGTGATAGCAAAAGCAAACGCCTAATAAGCTAGACTGGTTTCGCTTAGCTGGCCCCAGAGGTGCCACACGTCAACGAACAAATTCCCCCTCCCCTTCCTCTAAAGATGATGACTCAGAACAAACAGCACAAACGCTTTCTCCCTGTTCTGAAGAACCAAGAGCAGAACCGAGATGCAGGTGTGGGGGGGGAGGGGAGGTAGCGGGGGGGGGGGGGGCACTGGCCCGGACCCGTGTGGGCCCTCAGTCACCTCTGGCTTGCTGTCCACCACGTCCACCTCCAGGGCGCCCTCAGCGTGCAGGGCCTTCTGCTTGGCCTGCTCCACGGCCAGGCTGAGCTTCTGGATGTAGGACTGCAGCTCGGCCGGCGAGTCCATGTTCAGCTCCACCAGGGCCTTGTGGAACTGGTCCATCTGGCCGTCCTCCAGCAGCTCCTGCGAGGCAGCCCTGGGGGTCACCATCAGCCAGGGGCCTGGGGAGGGCTCCCACCCTCCAGCCTGCCTCCCCCTCCTCCTCCTCCAGAGTGGCACAAAGCAGCCGCCCCTCCGGGCTGCAGCACCCCTGACGCGGGGACCTAGGGGAGAGCCGTCAGTGTGACCCACCGCCTCTCGGGAGGGGAGAGGGGAGGCGGCCGCGGGGACGCGGGTGACACCCCACTGCCTGGTCAGGGCGGCCAATCTGAGGCAGTGGCAGTGCACCACACCATATGCCCGTACCTCCTGCTCTTCCCATGGTATCCCCGGCACACAGGGCCTGGGCAGCACTGCACCCTGGAACGGCGGCACCAACTGCCTGCCTGCCTGGCCCAGAACTACCGGGAGTGGCCCTCAAAGTGGCCCCGTAGTTTGCGCCCCCGCAATCAAGCCCTGAAGACAGAGCTGGGGGGAATAGTTCAGAGGCAGGAGTGGCTCATGGCTGCAGCAGGAGGCCGGGTTCAGGCCCTCTTGAGCACCAGCAAAAGCAACCTTGAGCCCTGAGCGGTACCCCCCCCAATACCCTAAAGAAGCCCAGGAAGGCCCACCAGAGGGACGGCAGAGGTTAAGGTGCTCCCCTGCATGTGGCCGACCCAGGTTCAGATCTCTGGCACTGCGTATGGTCCCAGGATGCACTGCCAGGGCTCAGAGAGCCAGGACAGGCCCTGAGCATGGCTGGGTATGGCCCCAAGCTCCATCCCACCCCCCACCCCCCTCAAAAAATAAAAAATAAAAAATAAAAGTAGAAGTCAAAAAGATAAAGGAGACCAGAGAGATAGAACAGTAGGTAGGGTGCTCAATTTGCACACGGTCAACCTGGGTTCGATCCCTGGCATCCTATGTGTCCCCTGAAGCCGACCAGGAGTGACCCTTGAATGTAGAACAAAGAGTAAGCCTTGCGCTTCACTGGGTGTGACCCAAAAACCAAAATGCAAAGGCATTGTTGCGGCAAAATTAGCTAATGAAGCCAGAGTCCACAGCCCTTATGGAAGGTCTGTGGGGCGGAGCCATAGTATAGCGGGTAGGGCACTTGTCTTGCATGCAGCAGACCCAGGTTCAATCCCCGGCATCCCACCTGGTCCCCTGAGCACCACCAGGAGCCAATTCCTGAGTGCAGAGCCAGGAGCAACCCCTGAGCACCGACGGGTGTAGGACTGAATAAAAAGAGGCCTGATGTTACTCAGCACTCTGAGCTGAGATGCTGCGGCGTGCTGTACGGCGGTGACACCCACGAGAGAGGACACTGAGGGACGCTCCTGACCTGCACGTAGAGCAGCCGCTCCAGCCGCTCCTGGTCCAGCTGCAGCTTCTCCTCCCGCCGGCGGGCGTTGAGCTCCTGCAGCCGACGCAGCTGCTGCTGCCGCCGCTCCTGCCTCTCCTCAGAGCTCAGCGTGCTGCCCAGGAGCTTGCTGGAGAACGGGAGCTGCATCTTGTGGACGTTGTTCTCGTAGTAGTCGGGGCACCGCCACTTCTGCAGCTCTTGCCGGAAAGGATTTGGAAAGTCACGAAAGGAAAACAGGAGGAGCAGAGAAAGGAGAAAGCGGACACCGGGGCCTGTGCCTTCCCGCTCCCCCAGGCAACGACTCGCAGCAGGACTGGCCGAAGAGACGGCGCAGAGGTTAAGGCAAATACCTAGCGATTCCCCAGCATCGCCATTTGGTACCCGGAATTCCACCAGGAGTGACCCTGAAGCAGAGCCAGGAATAAGTCCTGGGCATTGCTGGGTATTGTGACCGTCCCCCCACCAAATAAATCAACAAAAAATTTTCTGTATGATGATTGAAAATGAGTCCTGACACTGACTGCCCAGCGAGAGGAACAGCTAGAGTACCATAAACATCACCACCCATGGCAGGGCTCGGGACATACACGGACCACACACACACACACACACACACACACACACACACACACACACACAAAACAATCCCAGGGATCAAAGGAGCAACAGACACAAATGGGAAACACTTGCTTCTTTGGTTTTGAGGACACACCAACAGCACTCAGGAGCTACTCTCAGTTCAGTACTCGGGAGGGGTATTTCCCAAGGTGCAGGGGGACCAGGTCTCCTGTGCACAGAGCCTGTGCTCCAACCCTCTGAGCATCTCTCCAGCCCAGGGTGGTGTCTGGGGTCTCTGCGTGCTTAAAGAAGGCAGATTTCCAGGGAGAAGGTGCTAAGTGATTCTTTATTGGAAAGGGGGCGGCAGGCAACGTTTGGGAATCTCTAAAGTGACCACTTAAAACACTGCTGAGAAAGAGTAAAAATACAACCTAGGGGGCTGGCCAGGGAGTTAGTATGGGGGCGAGGGCACCCCAGTTTGGTCCCAGGCACTCCCAGCCTCTGAGCACTGACAGAATGGCCCTGATGGCCCAGAGCACTTCAGGGTTGAGCAATATCAGATCCGAGGCCTTGCACAGGACTGCGGAACAGTGCAGCATCAGGAGTACTAGCAGGTGGGCTGAGTGTCACCAGGAGCGACCCCCCAAGACTCCTGAGCACTGTGGGATGAGCATCCATAAAAACAAAAAACACCATACACTACGATTGGGGCCATACCTGGCAGTGCTCAGGACTTAGTCCTGGCTCTGTGCTCGGTATCACTCCTGGCGATGCTCAGGGACCACGCTGAGCTACCAGGTCAGCCACAAAGCGCCTGATCCACTATCCTGTCGCACCAGTCCCAGACACAGCTTGTCAACCGCAAGAGGAGGCCGGTATATTCCACTAAACAGACTTTCACCAAAAATTTTCTGGAGAGAGTTCAAATAACCCAAAAGAGGGCTGCGGGAGGTAAAAGAACAACCAAGAAAAGGAGCAAAGAGGGGCTGGAGCAATAGCACAGCAGGTAGGGCATTTGCCTTGCACGCGGCCGACCTGGGTTTGATTCCCAGCATCCCGTATGGTCCCCTGAGCACCACCAGGGGCAATTCCTGAATGCAGAGCCAGGAGTAACCCCTGTGCATTGCCAGGTGTGACTCAAAAAAGCCAAAAAAAAAAAAAAAAGGAACAAAGATAAAAGTGGTCTAGGTCTACTTATTCTTTTAAACATATGGAATAATTATTATTATTATTATTTTTTGCTTTTTGGGTCACACCCGGAGATGCACAGGGGTTACTCCTGGCTCTGCACTTAGGAGTTACTCCTGGCGGTACTCAAGGGACCATATGGGATGCTGGGAATCGAACCCGGGTCGGACGTGTGCAAGGCAAATGCCCTACTCGCTGTGCTATCTCTCCAGCCCCTAAAATTAATTTTCAATAATCTTAACATACTAATTAAAAGACGAAGACTGAGAGACTAAAACACATTGTGAACAAAATGGCACAGGAGGGTTAAAGGGATGGGAAGGGACCACACAAGCACCAACCCACACAGAGCTGAAGTGGCTCGACCGTGTCCAAGCTGACTTCAAAGGCAAGAAAATTACACGGGACAAAAAGGGACACGACATCACGGCAAGAGGTCAGCTGTGAAGAAGTCCCAAGAATCCGAAATATGCACCAAATAAAGGGGCTTCAGACACTCGCAAGCAAATGCTGGCAGAACAGAAAATCCACAAATTTCTCTCAAGGCCTTAGGAGCCCAAAAATAAACAGATGCAGGAGAACCGAAGTGCAGCCCCCCGGCGTGGCACAGTCCTTACACCAGAGTGGACGCGCCCAGATCATGAGAAACCTTCACAAGGTTAGAAAAAAGACGAAGCTCTTTGACCACAATGAAACTCAGCAAATGACAGAATAGCAAAAGCAAAACTCTCCGCCCTCCACCTCCCCAACCCCCACCCCGCTCCCATAAAATGTCTAAACAAAACAAAACAAAAAATTATCCAAAGAAGAAGAAGTGGGGAGCACTGGAATGATAGCACAGCAAGTACAGTGTTTGCCTTGCATGCAGCCGACTCGGGCTCGATCACCCGCACCCTGTATGGTACCCCAGCACTGCCAGGAGTGATGAGTGATCCCTGAGCACTGCCAGGTCTGGTCCCCAAACAAAAAAGAACAGCAGAGTAGGGGCTGGAGCGCGAAAGTACAGCAGGAGGGGTGTTTGCCTCATGCATGGTCAACCCAGGTTTGGTACCCAGCAGCCAATATGGTCCCCTGAGCCCTGCCAGGAGTGACTCCTGAGTGCAGAGCCAGAGCCAGGAATAAGTCCTGAGCACCACCAGGTTGTCCCAAACATGGGGGAAAAAGAAAAAAAAAGGCTGAGCTCAGAGCCAGGAGTAAACCCCGGGCACCCCCAGGTGTGGCCCAGACACACTGCTGAACAGTGTCTCTCAAAGTGAGAGGAAGGTGGCACCAGGGGTGGGGGGCACCACGGAACCCTCAGATGCAACTGGGGGGCACTTTCTCTCTGATGCTCACAGGCAGCAGACTTCCAGGGGGAGCACCGCAAATCGATTCTTCCTGAAAAGGCACCGGTGGCGGGCTGAATTGGGCTAGGACCCTTGTGTGCGGACCCTCTCTTACCCTCGACATAGTCCTCGGCGATATAGCTGTGCTCGTGCAGGATCTCCTCCATGCGGCTGAGCGTGATGGCGGCCAGGTGGCCGGGGTACTTGAGCTGCAGGAGGCGCTGCAGGTAGCCAGCCGCCTGGCTCCCTCCGAGATTGATGCGCTTGCAGTTTTTTGCGTCTAACCTACAGCCAAGGAACGGAAGACAGCATGAGATGCTTGGCAATCCAGAAAGAACCTGGGGACCTAGAGAGAACACCACGTGGGGGCGGTGTTACTTGCTTTGTTTTGGTTTCGGGCCACACCCAGTGGTCCACAGGGCTGACTCCTGGCTCTGTACTCAGGGATCACTCCTGGCAGGGTGCGGGGGGCCTTATGCAGCGCTGGGTCCGGGTCAGCTGCGTGCAAGCCACTGAGGGGCCCAGACAAGGATTATGGTAGAAGAGTAAGCAATAAACAGAACAGGTGAGGAGATATAAAACCTTAGAGAGGGGACTTTAAAGCTCTCTGGTCTAACCTCTTACCCAGGACAGGAATTCCTGGGTAATTCCGAGCCCATCACAGAACCCTCAAACTCTAGGCCGGGGGCAGGAGAAAATGAGGTCCAATAGGACAAACGATGCTCTGAGCGAGACCCTGACTCCTCAGGCTGTTGTCCTGCGACCGAACACCCTAAAATCAGCTGGGGACAACGTGTTACATGTCAATCCTCTGAATTCTTCTGCTGGGCAATGGGTGGGAGAATCTGCCTCCCGGGTCATTCAAATCGCAGTCGTGCTTTCTGAGTCCCTCCCCTATGTGCTTCTGATGGAGTGAACATATAAGTAAACCACACATGTGGACTGACGAGACTCTCCCACGGGGACAAGATCCCTTCCACACGAGCAAAAGCTGCAGGGAACGGGAATCTCGTGCTCTTAAGGTAAAGGTAAAGGTAAAGGCCCTCCCGTTGATCGTCGATTTGCTCGAGCGGGCCCAGTAACGTCTCCATTGGAGACTTTGTTGTTACTGTGTCTGGCATATCGAATACTCTCGGTAGCTTGCCGGGCTCTCCGAGAGGGGCGGAGGAATCGAACTCGGGTCAGCCATGTTGGCCGCGTGTAAGGCGAACGCCCTACCCACTGTGCTATCGCTCCAGCTCTTAAGGTAAAGAAGAGGAATGTGCTCCTGGTGGGAACATCTGTGTGCTACCTCATCCCGCCAGCAGATGGCGCAGAGAGCAGGCTATGCGCGTGGATTCTCAGTGTTTGGGTAAAACAATTTTCTCTCAACAGGAAAGTAACAGGATACTACTTAACTTATGCCTATTCTGATTAACTTACACAGAGCCCTCCATATAGAAAAAGGCCTGGCAAAGTCTAAGGATTATTTCTTCCATGTATGTTTTTACAGAGGGAAAAAAAAAATAAATCCAGAAATGCAGAAATTGGGCTGGAGAAACAGTGACTACAGTGAATAAGGCTTTTGTCTTGCACACAGCCGATGCCCATAGGATCTTCGGGACCATATGTGTTCCCTTGAGCACGGGAGCCAAGAGTAAGACCTGGGTACAGCTAGTTTTGCCCCCCACCCGCGCCAAAAAAAAAGCCTTATAGAAATTCCCATTACATGTTGCATTGCATTCAACAGCACTGATTTATCTATAAGTCTTCTTGACATTTTGTCAAATTCATCACCTGTATTATCTATCTCATTTCATCCTCAAGGTAACCATGATGAGAAATCAATTCTTCCCAACTTTACATGACAGGACAGTGAGGAGGTTAATCTCTAATCCTCAGCAGGGCTGCAAACCCACACTTTTGCTCCCAGAGTCAGGGTTATTTCCCTACTCACACACAGTTTCAAAACAAGAGACCCTCCCATGAGCGCTACACTGGTGCGTCTCTGAGGATCAGACAACAAAAGCCTCACTACGAAAGAAGCGATTTTACACATGACAGAAACTACCCCTCGCCTTTTGTTCATCTCAGAAGCATTAATAAATATATACTGCGTGTAACCACTGGACTGGAAAAGAGACGTCTGAGGAACAGTGACCAGACAGTTCTTAAATAAAAATGTATGGGGCTGAGGGGCTGGAGTGATAGCACAGTGGGTAGGGCGTCTGGCTTGCACGCGGCCGACCCGGGTTCTATTCCCAGCATCCCATATGGTCCCCCCCAAGCACCGCCAGGAGTAATCCCTGAGCATCGCCGGGTGTGACCCAAAAAGAAAAAAAAAAAGTATGGGGCTGAGGCTGTCGCTGTAGCTCAGTGGGAGAGCACTTGATTGGCTTGAGTGAGGCCCTAGGTTCAATCCCGGGCATTGCAATCATGACAATAATACTAATGTTTAAATTAGAAGTTTCCGGAACAAAGATGGCCTAAATTAAGTCTCTTCAAATGAGTTATTCAGAACCATGTTTACTAAGTTTTGTTTGCTAAGTGCCAAACCAAAGTTAGACAGGGCCTGAGTTAGCCGACTCGCCGTAGATCTGAATCATGAAATTCTCAAATGATATGTCATCTATCCCAACCCCTTCAAGGAGGTGACAAAGAATAGGAGGTAAGGAAGGCACAGAGTGAGGAAGGACAGAGTTAAGCCCCGAGGACAACACCCCCCCCCACCCCCAGTGTGCTCTTTTCCGCACAGGAGAGGTTTCGGGGATGCTTCTCAAAGCAGCACTCACGTGCCAGGTGCACAACTCACCTCCCCTCTAAGATGGGTAAAATATGTGTACACTGGTATCCCGACGAGATGATGAGCCCACTGGAAGTCAAGTTCTTTGGCTTATTGTGGTAGAAGCTGAAGAGGCTGTCGATTCCGTAGGCAACCTTGGGAATCCCGTAGCACTCAAAGAGAAGCTCCGACATCATTTGTCGTGAATACAGTGGGTTGCACACAGCTTCCGTCAAGACGATGGGATGATCCACACAGCCCTACTTTGACAGAAGTGAGGGAACCGATGAGAAAGGAACAACCTATTTAAAGTGGGGGAGCTCTGGGGGTGGAGAGCCAAAATTCTCACTTCCGATCAAAAACCTGGAAGCCATTTCTAAGAACAGGAAAGCACAGTCACAGGAGACTCGGAGATGGCTCAAAAGGCCGGAGCACAGCTCTGCAGGAGGGAAGGCCATCCCTTGCCAAAAAATAAAGGTCACTTTTTTGGTTGTTTTAGGGGCACATCTGGTTTATTCTTGGCTCTGTGCTCAAGGATCACTCCTGGTGGGCTCTGGGAACCATATGGGGTACTGGGGATCAAACCCAGTTCGGCCTTACGTAAGGTAAATGTCCTACCCACTGTACTATCACTACGACCCCAGAGAGGTCAAGCATCAACCTGAGGGCAAATCATGTTGGCTCTATTTTTCAGAGTATCATCAAAATCTGACAATTTCTTACCAACCCCGACACCTTCATCTAAGTCACTTACTTGGATAATTCCAAAGGCCTCTGAACTGGTCTCCCTGATTCATCTCGTGACAGTGCCCGCTTCTTATGGCAAACAGAGCAGTCCCTCTGGAACCTAAGCCACGACTGTCCTCCGCTCACGCCCTCCCAGGGCTCCCCATCTCCCTCGGCGTAAACGCCTTTCGGGTGTGTGATTTACCCCTCATGGCCTCTGCCCCCTCCTGCTCTTTCCTCCTCTGGCTGCCGAGCGTTTAGGACCAGGGCATGGGCCAACTTCAGGGCCTTCTCACTAACTGTTTCCTCTGCCTGGAATCGTAATCCTTCGGTTATTCACGTTTGTTCCCTTGAGCATCTCCTTCAATGTCTTGCTCAAACATCACCTTTCCAAGAGTGATGAAATTCTCAAATGCTACAGGTCATCCATCCCAACCCCTTCAAAGAAGTGAGGAAGGATAGGAAATGAGTGACATGTCCAAGGCACACAGTGAGGAGGGACAGAGTTAAGCCCCGAGGTCCCCTGATGTGCTCTTTCCCACACAGGAAAGGTTTCAGGGATGCTTCTCAGAGCAGCACTCATGTGCCAGATGCACAACTCACCTCTCCTCTAAGAAGGGTAAAATATGTGTATACTGGTATCCATACTGAGGATAGAGAAACAGCATGGGGCGAGTGTTCCAACAGGATAATGGTACGGACAGATTCAAGAAATGAAAGGAGGATCTATCTATAAAGCGATAGCACAGTGGGTAGGGCATTTGCCTTGCATGCGGCCAACCTGGCCAACCCAGGTTCAAATCCTCCGCCCCTCTCAGAGAGCCAGGCAAGCTACCAAGAGTATCTCGACCGCACGGCAAAGCCTGGCAAGCTACCTGTGACATATTCGATATGCCAAACACAGTAACAAGTGTCACAACGAAGGCGTTACTGGGCCTGCTCGAGCAAATCGATTAACAACGGGAGGACAGTGACAGTGGTATCCATACTGAGTCCTACTCTGTTCATCTTACTGGAAACACAAAGCTTGGGCGGGAAAGAGTATAGCAGGTTGGGCACTTGCCTTATACACAGCCAACCCGGGTCAATACCAGACACCCCATGCAGTTCCCTGAGCTGCACCAGGAATGATCCCTGAGTACATGTCAGGGGAAGATCTGACCACTGCCGGGTGTGACCACCCACCCAAAACAAAGCCAAAAAGTACGAAATTCCCCTTTCCCCTTTCTCTGGCTGGGGAGATGGCACAAAGGATTGGAGCATGTGCTATGCATGGAGAAAGTCTGGGTTTCCTACTCAGCACTGTATGGTGTCCAGACTTTGCTACCATGGCATGCCATGATTCAGAGCCTGTCTTTTCCACGCCAGCTGTCGTTTGGTGTTAGCTTCGTAAGAACAAGCTCTGAGTTATGCTTACCAAGTCAATCCAAACGCTTGAAAAAAAAAAAACTCACCCAGTCGAAGCTCAACGCCGCCTGTGCATAAGCAAATTTATACACAAATGAGCAAACAGGCCCAAATACAGGCTTCGTGAGAAAGGATGCGCTTTCTGCTCCCTGCTGTTCCCCAAGTGCCGAAAACGGTTGGGGGGCTTCATTCCCATCCTCCAGGGCGACTGGAACGACGGGTAGGCTCAGAGACCCTCCTTTTTTTCTTTTTTCACTTTTTGGGTCACACCTGGCGATGCACAGGGCTCTGCACTCAGGAATTACCCCTGGCGGTGCTCAGGGGACCCTATGGGATGCCGGGAATCGAACCCGGGTCGGCCGCGTGCAAGGCAAACGCCCTCCCGGCTGTGCCATCACTCCAGCCCCTCGGAGACCCTTCTGGGCCGGGGCAAGCCCTGCCGCCTGCCCAGAAGCCCAGCGCACCTGAGACGAGACTCCCAGGTGCTGGAAGCTGTAATCGAGCAGCAGCTCCTGCAGCTCCAAGTTGACGGGCACGTTGCGGTCGAAGGGCGAGCGCAGCATCCAGCGCAGCGGCTCCAGGCTGCCCAGCGCGTTGCCCACCTGCGGGCCCGCCCCGCCCCGGGCCCCGCCCCGGGCCCCGCCCCGCCCGCGGGCGCACACGGCGCGGAACTGCAGGCGCGGCTCGGGGCCCGGGTCGGGCCCAGGGCACGCCCAGCCGGCGCGGGCCTGGAACGACCCGTTGTCCAGGATCAGGGGGACCGGCAGCGGCCCCTGTGCCACCGGGCCGGCCTCCAGCACCGGGTCCGGCACCGCACGGGCGTCCCGGAACGGGAACACGTTACTAACCGGTCCCGCAGCGCTGGCCGCCGCCATGTTGAAATGCCCGCTAGCTCCGCCCCCCGGCGCGGCGTTCGCGAGGACGGCGAGAAGCCCCGCCCCGGCGCGTGACGAAAGCCTCTAAATCCCCGCCCCTCGCCACACCGCCTCGCCTGCTGATTTGCTGGATCGCTGAGGCCCGCCCTTCCCAGGGGTGATATCCTGTCGCGGTTAGCCACGCCCCTAATTTTCCGTCTGGCAACGCCCCTTCGCTCGAGCCGGGAAACGGAGCCTGTCAGCCCCACCCCCAGTACGTACGCTGTCCTGACTGGGCGGAGCCTGCGAACTCCGCCCCCAGCACATAACACTGTCTTGATTGGGCCCTGCGGATGTGGGGCCGCCCCTTTCCTTTAGCCACGCCCTACTCACCTTGATTCGTCCTTGGCTCTGCCTCCTTGTGCTTACGTCACCTTTCCTTTCAGAAAAGTTGAACCCTAAGATGCTGTTTAGTTTTTTTTATTTATTTAATAGCTTTCATGTTTGATCACTCAATGATCAAACACCCATCTTTCCACCAGTGCACATTCCCCACCACCAATATCCCCAGTATAACCCCTCTTTCCCACCCTCCCTCTGCCTCCATGGCAGATTTGATTCTCTCTACTTCTGGGCATTATGGTTTGCAATACAGACCCTGAGAGGTTATCATGTTTGGTCCTTTATCTACTTTCTGCACACATCTCCCATCCCGAGTGATTCCTCCAGCCATCTTTATCTTAGTGATCCTGATGTAGGCAGGTAGATAGGGAAAGGCTCTCTGCAATGAAACAAAGTCTCATAGAAGAATTCTAGGATCAACCCACCCTGTGGAGACAGAGAATAAGGACTTGATAAGACCATCCCCAGACCCTGAAGATATGGGCCTCCTCCCCATGAAATTCCTCCTTTCCGAGAACCCACTTTCAATCCGGTTGACTCCAGCGACCCAGCCCCAAGGAGATCCAAGGACATTCCAAGTCAGATGACTCTTGAACCCGCTTTCAATCCGGTTGACTCCAGTGACCCAGCCCCAAGGAGATTCCAGAACATTCTGAGTCGGAAGGATCTATAAGAACCAGCTCGAGAGCCCACTTGGCGCTCTCTCCACCCTCGGAGAAGCCCGCGTTCCCTCTGGACGCGTTACTCTCTCTCTCTTACTCTCCATTCCCCCGCTTATCTGCTCATCCCTTCCTCTCCCTCTCCAAAAGCCTCCAAATAAAACCTGTTACTTCACTGCTCGTCTACTCCTGAAATTCTTTTCTGCGAGCGAGACAAGAACCCCAGAAACCTCGGGTAAGGCTTGGGACTGGTCTCTCCTTTCCTGCAAAGAGCGAATTCTCGCCCCAGCTTGAGTCCGTGGCTCCCCGAGCAATCGGGTGGCGGGGATTAACTCCCGTGCCGAGAAGATCAAGCGGACTTCAGGTGTGGCTTGACGGCCACCTCGTGGGGCTGGCGGGGCTCAGGCCCGTGCCGAGCAGGTGCTCACTGCAGACTTTACCGGTCCTAGCCTACCCAGGGTTCCGGGTGGCAGAGGCGGGTGAGGAGAAAGTGGCTGTCTTTCTCCTCCCCACTTCACATAAGTCACCCGTGGGGCCCACCGACATCAATCCCTTCTCTATTCCAGCTACCTTCTCCCCTTTGCTCATGAGGCAGGCTTCCAGCTATGGGGCAATCTATCTGTCCCATGTATCTACTTTCCTTAGGTGTCAACCTCATGTTATGTTGTTTTAAACTCCACAAATGAGTGCAGTCCTTCTATGTCTGTCCCTCTCTTTCTGACTCATTTCACTTAGCATGATTCTCACCATGTCTATCCATGACTTCATCTCTCCTGACAGCTGCATAGTATTCCATTGTGTAGATGTACCAAAGTTTCTTTTACCAGTCATCTGTTAAATGAGAGGGCTCCAAGAAGGGCTCAGGGGCCAGGAAGAACCACTCCAAGTGCCATAGGGCACTTGGGTTATTTCCAGATTTTGGCTATTGTGAACAGTGCTGCAATGAACATATAGGTACAGATGTCATTTCTACTGTGCTTTTTTGCATCCTCGGGATATATTCCCAGAAGTGGTATTGCGGGGCCATATGGAAGCTCAATTTCTAGTTTTTGAAGAACTGTCCATATTGTTTTCCAGAAAGGCTAGACTAGTAGGCATTCCCACCAACAGTGAAAGTGTCCCTTTTTCCCAAGCTCTCTTTGTTTTATTTTGTTTTGTTTTCGAGGGTGGTTTTGGGGAGAAACTACCAAACTACTTTTGATTTGTGCACTTTTCTATGTGGTTCTACTTGATAACTATATAACGTTTTAAAATATATTTATTAGCTTCCACATACTACCTCCTCTCATTCAGATCTCAAACTAATTGGTTTTTCTTTCTAAAAGGACTGGGTAGGGCCAGAAGATACTACAAGAATTAAGGTGTATGCCTAGCTAGCGCCCAACCCTGTTCTTTTCCCAGCAAACACCACGGGGTGTGGCCCTAGAGGCCCCCAATGTTTCAGGGGTGGCCTGTGTATCCCCAACACCACAGAGCCTGAGCAGCACCCCATCCTTGGGCCCTCGTATTGGACCATCAAATCAACTTGGCCGAGAAATACTCCGGGCCTCCTCAGCACCGCTAGGGATACCCCTATCTCCCTCCATAATAATACTGGTAATGTACTGTTAACTTTTGGAATTATTAACTCCCCGGCAAGGGGGTGGGACTGGAGTCAAGGTGACATCACCCTCTGGTTTTTTTTCTTCTGTTTTGTTATTGGGGTGGGGGGTGAGGGGAGAGGGCTCCAAGAAGGGCTCAGGGGCCAGGAAGAACCACTCCAAGTGATTCTCAGATCCTGTGGTTCAATGTGAGGGCTCCGTGGTGCTCAGGGACTACAGGACTGCCACTGAGATGCTGAGGATGGTGAAGCTCCTGGGCTGCACCCCAAGATGCTCAGGATATCATGGGATGGCAGGAGATCACCTGGTTGCCACCTGCAATGCATGCACCCTAAGGACTGTACTATCTCTTGGACCCCTCCCTCCCAGTTTGGCTTCATGAAGGAAGGAGGTTCCTTCCTTGACCCATTTCCCCCCCTTCCAGTTGCTAAAGGGCTAAGATTTAGAGCAGATGCCTTGACTCTACCCTCCAGGATCTAAACTCTTCGCTCTGAGAGAGAAAAGCAAGTTCACTATAAAAGGTCGCTCTGAGGGCTGGAGTAATAGTACAGGGGGTAGGGCATTTGCCTTGTACACAGTCAACTGGCATTCCTGGCATAAATGGTCCCCTGAGCATCACCAGAAGTAATTCCTGAGTGCAGAGCCAGGAATAACCCCTGGGCATCACTGGGTGTGACCCTGAAAAAGCTATCACCTATCACCGTATCACTGTATCTCTGTCATCCTGTTGTTCACCTATTTCCTCGAGCAGGCACCAGTAACGTCTCCATTTGCCCTAGCCCTGAGATTTTAGCAAGTGCCACATTGGAGGCTCTTTCAGGGTCAGGGGAATGAGACTCATCATTGTTACTGGATTTTGGCGTATTGAATACACCACAGGCCAGACTCTGCTGTGTAGGCAGGACACTCTGGGTATCTGAGAGCAAGAATTAGACAATAAGAGGTCAGGGAGCTTAGTTTTATAGTCTCTGGCTCTTGGCCATTCATGGGATTACATGGTGAAGCCGGGGGCAGTTGGTGGGTGTGACGCCTAGCTTCTGGAAGATGGGGGATCTGGGTGGAGGAGGTCCAGTCTCTATCTGAGCAGGCTTGGAGATCTCAGCCCCAGTCCCACACACCTGGGTTCCTCTGCCGGTTCCTTTATGTGTGAGGCTCATTGGAGCATGTGGAGAGTGGTCTTAAGCATGGCTGTGGATTGTTCTGGAAGCCTTCATCCCTGCCCACCTCCAAGGGGCCCTAATGAGGACAACCTTTTTTTAAAGGTGACTCTGAATAAATGTCCTTTGCAAGAGATGAAACAGCAGGCCTTTTTAAAGAATTTCTTTGAACATATCCAGGTCAGACTGGGATCCAGCTGAGTGAAAAAAATCAGTTTTTGGGTGGTGCCTTCCAGCACCTGGACAGGACCTAACTGGTTTTTGTTTCACCAAACAACAACAACGAAGGACCAGGAGGGCTGTGAGATAGCAGAGCAGTTAAGGCACATGCCTAGCATATACTTACCCACTTATTCCATTCCCAGCATCACATATTCCCCAACCACCACCTGGTGTGGCCCTTTGTCTCAGATATCTGAAGGTTTATAGCATTAAATCAGGACCCACAGATCACAGAGAACAGAAAATGCAAGTGAATGTTAAAACTGCAGCTGTGTAAACAGTATGGGAAAATAGTGACAGCAGGTATCAGAAAGAAATAGGTGAAGATAGTAGAGGGTAGAGTTTATAAGAGAGAGAAGAGAGGAATAGAGTGGTAGAGAGAGAAGAGGAAGAGTAGAGCAGGGAAAAGAAGAGAAGGTAAACAGAGGACAGAGGGAAAAGAAGAAAGAAATTTAGAGGCGCTAAATGACAAAGAAGATCTCCTCCAGGAGGTCTAACTACAAATAATTTATGAAAGAGAGAACTGAGTAAACCGAGGAACATAATAATTTCCTAGAATGGAAGCACTTGAACTGCCATATTGGGAAGGGATCATTGACCAATAGCATGGATTGACCAATAGCAGCTCTACATCAATACACACAGGAAATTTCAGTACCTTGGGAGCAAATAAAGAACATCCAGTCATTTCCAGATGAAAGAAAATGGTTGGGGCCAGAAAGATAGTAGAGTCACAAAGCCAACCTGAGTCCCATCCCTGACACTACATATGGAAGAAAGAAAAGAAAAGAAAAGAAAAGAAAAGAAAAGAAAAGAAAAGAAAAGACAAGACTGGCTGGCACCAGATAATCTCCTCATCGCCATGGTCCAGAGTCACATGTCCTCTCTCCCCGAAGGGAGCATAACACAACACATGCCATATTCATGCTGCCCGACCCCTCGCCAGGATGCTTCATTCGGGGCGTCCCAGAGAGGGGTGGGTGAGA